TTGGAAAATACCTGGAGACTTTGGGGGTGGAGCCAGGAGAGGGCGGGGTTTGGGGAGGGGAGGGGCCTCAGCATAGTACAATGCTATGGTGTCCACCCTTCAAAGCAGCCATTTTCTCCAGGGGAGCTGGTCTCTGTCAGCTGGAGATCAGTTGTAAAAGCGGGAGATCCCCAGGCCCCACCTGGAGGCTGGCAACCCTACATGAGGGAGCCCTTGGGAACTGTGGCCAGCAAACACAAGGCTGCTTTCCTGTGGCCAAGCCAGTCCCCTGTGACAGCTGCCACCAAGGGCCCCGCCCGTGACTCTGGTTCACCTTCCCCGCTCCCGTTCCTCTGCACTGGACTTCAGGAAAGGTGGTGGCTGGCTCCAGCTGCTCCACAAAGCAGGCACGGCCTCCCCACTGCACTGCACTGCCGGCCGGCTGCGGCTTCCCAGACTGTGCTTCGTTACCTGAAGGAGCCGAGCTGATGAAGATGCGGACCAGGTTGGATGGCCTGGAGGGAAAGGAGCCCCCCTGCTCCGGGCAGGCTTCTGTGCTGAAGTTCATGAGGGGGTGCTCCTTGGATTGGTGCCGAGTGGCTCCACCTACCCCTTCAGGAAAATGGAGTGAGACTCCTGCCAGGCAGAGCTCTCAGGTCCCCACTGAACCATGAGCGTAAAGCACCCGGGCTCTGGGAGGCAGCCCTGTGGGGCCGGAGACATCATTGCCATGGCAACCCCTGTTTGTGCCCAAACACACCTGGGAGCATTGCCAGGGGATCCACACCTGGGGGAAACACTTGAGTCAGAGCTGCTGGGAGCCTCCACTGAGTGGCCGCGCTTGGATCTCTTGTGCTCCCACAACACCTTGGGAGGGGTCTCCAGAGAGAAGCCCCAGCTCCGGCCTCACATTCCAAGGTCTCTCCCATGCCCAAGGAAGAGCTGGTCCTGATGTTATCTGTACGCATACAAATCTCGAAAACACAAAAGATGCAGTGACTTAATCCTGTCACAGGTGAACCCCCTCTTATAAGGGAAGCAATCCTTTTAAAACAGTTACGTGGAAACAAAGGGTCTCTTTGCCTGTTCCAAAATAACGCACTAACCACTAAATCACAGGGCTACATTGAGATGGATAACCAGGCCCGTAGCTACGGTGGGGCACTTCGGGGCTTCGCCCCCTCAAATGTTGAGTCCCTGCTTGGCACGCAGAAGGTCTGTCTCCAACCCAAGGTCCGAGCCTTAGCAAAGACCTGGCCGAAAGAAGGCCTCTCTTTGCGCTGACGGGACGTTGCAGTGAGCTGCATGAGGCAGCTTTATACTCACTGGTGTGAATGCTGGAGCACCCGACTGTGGGAAGCTCAGTCTGTTGCTCGGCCTCTGGGCCACGAGGGGTCCCCTCCTCCTGGTTACCATTTCCAGCTCTTTAAAGAGAAGCAGGAGCTGGTACGAAGGAGGAGTTTAAAAACCAGACACCCAAGGCTGGCAGGCGTGGGGATGGGGGTGGGGGTTGATGAGCTGTGCTAGAAAAGGTTGACTCGGGAAGTCATCTGCAGGTGTCTCTGCTCCTGTCCCTCTTCCTGCACCACCCCACCCCAGGGGCTTTTTATGGGTTTTCACAAATTGTCCACCAACAAAGCACTATGGTAGGCTACAGCCATCTGCCAGTCGCTGAATCCCCATCCCCAAGAGCTCCTGAGTGGTGCTGGGTGGGGTTAGGGGACTGGAAGAAGAAAAATGGTGCGGATGTGGGCCAGACCAGGAAATATCTGGACTTCCCCATCCTCACAGCAGCCGTCCTGCTTTGCTGTCTTTCCTTAAAAGGTTGTAGTAAAGCAGTTTTAGGAGCTGCGGTGGCTCAAGTGGTTAAGATGCTGAACTGCAGGCTGTGGAAGGTCGGTAGTTCAGCGGTTCGAGACCCGGGTGCCGCATGACGGAGTGAGCTCCCGTCTCTAGTTCCAGCTCTTGCCAACCTAGCAGTTCGAAAGCAAGAAATTGCAAGTAGATAAATAGGTACCACTTCAGTGGGAAGGTAACAGCGCTCCGTGCGCCTTGGTGTTTAGTCATGCCGGCCACATGACCACGGAAACGTCTTCGGACAGCGCTGGCTCTTCGGCTTTGAAACGGAGATGAGCACCGCAACCCTAGAGTCGGATTCGACTGGCTTTCGAGCAAGGGAACCTTTACCTTTACTTTTTAAAGCAGTTTTAGGAGAAACTGCAGGTATGTCCACTTTATCCTCACAACAACAAGGTACATGAGAACTCCACCATGCTGTGTGGAAGTAGGAGAAAAATCCTGCTTCCCTAAACCTAGAAGCAGTCTCTCTCATTCAATCTCTCTCTCGTCCTTCTCACAATATTAAAAGGAAGCCTCAACCCCTGCTAGGGTTACCTGCTTCCCTAAACCTAGAAGCGGTCTCTCTCATTCAATCTCTCTCTCTCTCGTCCTTCTCACAATATAAAAAGGAAGCCTCAACCCCTGCTAGGGTTACAGAGAGCCATGGCGAGTCAAGGCCTCCTGAGGAAGGAATGCTGTCACTATCTTTAGCTGCCACCCAACAGCCTGAGCTATCAGATGTGCCTGAGTGGGTTCGGAGGCTTTGGAGTTGGAGGCATTTTGTCCCGCATGATGGCATCCCCAAAACATGCCAGGATTTTGCAGAGTGACTAAAATCCCCGCTCTCTCGGAGGGGCCTGATGGACGTGGGAGCAAGGTGGCTGAGGCCCCAGAGATCAAGCCACTGAGTCAGAAATGGATGTCTAGAAAAGCCCAAGAGCTATGTAGGGCAGAGTGGGGCTCTTCCCTCCCAGGCAGGAGGCACCCAGTGGGGTGGGGGAAATGGTGTGGCTCAGTGGCAGAGCTCCTGCCAGTATCCATGCCCGAGCTCCATTCCACATATCTTGGCGGCAGGGAAAGCCCGCTCTGTGCGTGAGGCCCTGGACAGCCGCTGGCATCCCAAGCCAAGTAGTTAACTGGATCCAGTCTGGGGTAGGGTCACCTCTGGTGTTCCCAAGGCAGAGTTTCCTTTAGATTTGGGGTGGCAGAGGAAGACACTGGGGAAGGCTGACGAGACTGGGGACAGAGGGAGGGCATTCTGTGGAGCCCGATGGACCACGCGAGCTCCAGGATGAGCCACCTACACAGACGGTGACGTGACAGTAGGGGTGTTCCAGCTGGGCATCTCCAAACCCATTCCCACCTCACTTCGGGACCAGTTATCATCACACCAGTGGGCAGACTGAAGCTCGACCAGTGACTGTCAGTTTTGGGGCAGGTCCTAAGACCCGGAGACTTACAGCTCCCCCCCCCAAGGGAAGTGGGTGAGGCAGAATTTCGCCTCACAGGCTTGGAGTATATTGGCAGAACAAGATCACGGAAGAATTTGTCTATGGCCAGAAGTCACATTGCCAGCAGGCGGACAAGAAGGACATGTTTTCTTGGTTATCTTTTCCCTCCTTGTCTATTTGTAAACATTTCTGGGGCAGGCCCTAAGACCCACAGACTCACAGCCCCCTCGGACTGAGAGGCCTAGACAGGGGTCGTTTCGTAGAAAAAGAGCTAGGGGAACTCATTAGCATAACTCATTAGCATATGCCACACCCCCTGACATCACCGGAAGTGTGTCATAAGGCCACACACCCTGAC